TCAACATATTACCTTTTCGGCTACCCACCAGAAAAATGAGGAAATATGAGAACCCTATGGACTCAATCTACACATGTTGCTCTTTTTCTTCAAATCGCTTAGAAACATGCTATTTAACATAATTAAAGTCTTGGTTAAGGTCAGGAAAAAGGTTATGGTTAGGGCTAGGGATAAGGTTAGGTTTAGGGCTGGAATACAAGGCTGGAACGTCTATTACCCCGGGAGCGTCATTGCACTGGATTTCAACTATAACCCGCCGCCTACAGCGCTGAAGGTCTCCTTTCGCGTTCCTCAGGAACGCCGCAGGACGTGACAAAACGTCGGCATGTTACGCCTCGGGAGTGAGAAGGAACAGAGCGGGAGGGAGAGACAGAGAAAGAGAGCCAGGGACAACAACGTCACATTAGAAAGGTATAGTAATCAGCCACAACTATTTTCAGTTGCGAATGATAAAGGATTCAGAAAGTTTATTCATGCAGATCTATATGACAGAGAATATGCATGTTCTTTTTGTTTTCATATTTAATTTATATTTAATTGTGTTGTGTTTTGCAGTGTTTTGTGTTGTTTCACTTTAAATTTGTTTAAAAGAAAAAAGCTGAATATTTAAATAGTTAAAAGTTGAAATGTAAATAGTTGTTTTTTGTATTACATGATTTATTTATTACATTTTATGTGGAGTGAATAAATAAAAGTATATTTACGATGGCTCCTAGAGACAAAGCACATACAAACTCCAAAACACGTGAAAACTCCAAAGCAGGTACAAACTCCAAAACACAACAGATGTGCTCCAGGATGCTAGGCGCAGTGTTGAGCTTTTGTTACCTAGTGGCTACACAAGCCAGGAAGTACCAACGACTGGATTTGGTGTGTGGTAGTAACAGGTAAATGAACTTTTTTTTTTAATTATTTGAATATATATAAGTGCTTGTGTATAAATGCACAAACAATACACATATGCTCTCAATAGTGTCATTTATGTGATCTAGGTAGCTCTGTTTTGGAAGTTAATGCTAGAAATGTGTTTTGGAGTTTGTATGTGCTTTTTGGAGTTTGTACGTGCTTTGTCTCTAGGGGCCACCGTATATAATTATAAATAAACATATATAAATAAAAGCACTTTTTTTTACATTAGTAATTCCTTTTGTGCATAATTTTATATTGTTGTTTATAATAAATTAACTAAAGCAACAAAACAACCTGAAGAGCCGGTTGGGAACCGAAAGAGCTCTTTTTAGTGAGCGGAGCCGAAAGACCTGGTTCTCTAAAAAGAGCCGGAGATCCCATCACTACCACCCAGCCCACCACTGGGTCAATTCATGGGGAGAGATGCCCTGCAGATTCATGAATGATTGATTGATTTATAATACTTTATTCATCCCGAGGGCAGTAATTTAAGAAAAGTAAATTACACAGCTTACACCTAAATTCTTACCCTATTCAATGTGTCATGTGCCCTGGTGTCAACTGCTGTCATCAAGACATTGTTATCCAGACGTCTTGTATATATTTTATTTGTTTTCTGAACCATTCTCTGGCTCAATTAGATGGTAGCAATTAAGTTCAGTTTATCAGCAATTTCTAAAATGCTAAAACCAGCCCAGTTTCCTCCAATCTTCTGCCAAGTGATGGAAGTGGAAAGTGGAAAAGTGTGCCTAATGAAGTGAATCTGCATAATGTAATGTTTGACTCTATTGGGACTGCTTCTAATCTATCGTTTTATTTATTTTTTTCCTCAGTTCAGCGCTCTGTATATAAGGATCTGGTTCTGCTGATCCAGAAAGAGAAATATCAACTAAGGAGCAAGGCAAGGGCTAAAATTTACCAGTTTTATACACTGACACAAAGAAGAGAACAGGGTGTATAATCATGTGTAAGCTACCAGATTAGACCTCAGCTAACTTATTTAATATAAATGTTATAATCATTCCACTGGTGTCATTTAAATTGTAATGTAAAAAAAAAAATCAGTGTAATATTTTTGCACAAATAGAAACGAGTTCACCTGCTTGTTTTTGTTGTTCTTACATTTGTAACCTACTTCTTTAGGGTGAGATAAGCTTCGAACAGGACAGCCTGATGAAAGGGGGCTGTCTGGGTCCAATGCACAATGGCACAGATTACAAAGAGGTCCAATTTGGGCCACACATATGTGTGTTGACTCCTCAGTTCACCCACCACCTGGTCCGCTTTTACTTTGTGATGCGCATAAGGAGCATCCTGGACGACTTCCGCCATGGCTTGAAACCAGATCTTATTTTAAACTCCTGTATTTGGGATACTTCAAGGTGGGCGTTGTTGGGATGGAATTATTTGAAGTGCCTCAATTCTATGCTGGATAGGCCCCATGTGGCTGTAGGAAAACAGCCACAAAATCAATTTAACAGACTTATTGTTATTTAACTATTATTATTTAACACTTTATTACCTCTTTTATCAGTAATGTACTCACTATAAAATATAGATTTCATAAGTTACGGGTTTATTGAAGTCAACTAGTGAACACGTCGATCACTTTATTGAGCTACACCACTTACACTCTTGTGAGCTCTGGTTACTAACAGCAGATGTGAATGTTTGAAGTCCTAAACACAGATAAAGATTAGAATAACAAGGCAATGTAAAATCAGTTTGATGCAGCTGACAGTAGCAGCTCAGATGGATATCAGCCAATTGTGAGGGGAGCAGAGGAGTAAAACTGTCAGAGTTGTGGGACAAGTGAAGAGAACACTGTTGGCATTATTGTTAGCATAAAAGATGAAATTTAAATAAATGTTACATTTTAAAATTGATCATTGCCTCCTGTGCCTAAATAAATACATTGATTACCATTAAAAAAAACGCATATGAAGTAATGCACTCCTTTCAAGGATGCCCATTGACCATCACTTTTCAAAATAATCTGTGCAAGTTATTGAATGTGGCTTCCACACACCAAATCCGGTCGTTGGTACTTCCTGGCTAGTGTAGCCATTTTGGAGTTTTTACGTGCTTCGGAGTTTGTACATGTTTTGGAGTTTTTACGTGTTTTGGAGTGTTTTTGTTTCACTTTAAATTTGTTTAAAAGAAAAAAGCTGAAAATTTAAATAGTTAAAAGTTGAAATGTAAATAGTTGTTTTTTGTATTATATGATTTATTTATTACATTTTATGTGGAGTGAATAAATAAAAAATGATTTATGGTGGCCCCAAGAGACAAAGCACGTACAAACTTCAGTGTTCAGGTTATTTTCAATCGGGTGGAGATCTGGACTTTGACTTGAGCCATTACAACATCTTGGGTCTTTTCTTTCTCAGGCATTCTGTTGTGGTTGATGTGCTGCTGACCCAGTTTCACCCAAGTATTAGATGGCAAACAGATGACCTCTTATTTCACTCTAGAATTTCATATGTACATATGGGTTTGGACAATAAAGCTGATTTTGACTTTGACTTTGGGAATACTCTGGTATAGAGAGAAGTTCACAGTCATCTCAGTAACTACAAGGCACCCGGGTTCTGTGGCTGGAAAAAACCAAAAACAAATTATCACCCCTCCACCACCGTGCTTGACAGTTGGCATTAGGTGATTGTACAGATTTGATGTGTTTGATATTCTCCAGACATGGTGCTGCACATTATGGACAAATATCTCTACTTTGGTCTGTCCAAAGGACATTGTTCCAGAATTCTTGTGGTTTGTTCAGATGCAAACCCAAACTGTGTTGTCATGTTCTTCAGGCTTACACCTTGCAACCTTTCCAAACAAGCCATAGATGTTCATTTTTTTTCTAATTGTACTGCCAAAAAACGTTAAAATTTAACATACAAACTGAGGCCTGACAGTTCGATTTTGCCATTTCTCTGGGCATTTTACGGTCAGATGGAATGAATTTTCTGGAATGTCCACTCCCAGGAAGATTGCAGCGTTGTCCTGACAACACACACCTACAGTAAATGCTCCAGATTAGCAAACTGCTCAAACTTCAGCTTTTATCAAGGTGCTCACACTTGCCGGTGATCAGTTAATCAAGTGCATTTCATTTGCAGTACCTGAGTGATAATTCCAATTACAGTGGAAGCACAAACTTCCATTTTAACTTCTGAAAACATTCTTTTTCACTTGGCTGCAACTTCATGCCATCTATATCTTCCCCTATAATTCTTTCACTTATGCAGATGACATCAGCACACTCGCTCCTCTATGTCTCACAGTTCGTAACAGCCATTTCCATAGCAAACATGTGAGATCCCATAATCCAAACAAATTTATTATGCTTTCATGTGACCGAACAGTGTGCTGGCTACATTCATCATCCTTCTTGTCACAGCAGTAATTTTCTCCTTGAACATGGTCCAAAGAGATGAACATCACACAATGCACTATTTAAGCAATCACTGAAATAACAAACAAAGAAAACAAAATCTGTGATGTCACTGGGTGCTTTGGAAACTAATGGAAAAAAAGAAGCTAATCACATTTGTTGCAACATAGAGTTGAGCTCACTTGCATCACTGAGATTGTGTATTGGGACCTGCATTTTGCAATGTATGTGCTTTTTTAAAGTTATAGGTAAGATCCAAACTTGATTATTGTAAATTTATTCAGAAATGATAATAAGCACAAACATATGGCTTTTGCAAATGTTAAAAAAAATAGGTCTAATGATAATAATTACATTTTAAATATAATTTAATATTCGTAAAGTCCGTAGATATGTTTTGGTTCTTCATGCTTTCTCTTCAGCAAATTGGTCTCTGGCGCCACCTTACGTCCTATTAGAGAGCTCGCAAGGCGTGACAAGTGACGTCACGTGTTTACAACTGCCAATGAACACGTGGCGCACTGAATCTGAAGCCGTCATTGGTCGAAATGACATCGATATGGGTGGGTACTCTGCCGTTAGGAGCCAATAGGGTCTGGCATGTAAATTATGTTTGAAATTTTCCCGGGAAATCTGAGTTTCGCGGGAGGGTTCTTGAGCGCGTAAACCGTATCCCTTCATTCATCAGGCCGTTTCCTGAAGCCATTTCTAGACGGGGGAAACTAGAGTTGCGCTACTTTTTAATCCGTTGCATCTGCCTAAATGCACTTTCTGAGGGAAAAATACTTTTCAGAAATCGATAGTTCAGACACTCGTCTTTACTTTGGTCTGATTATTTTTGTAACCATTGCGGCGGATTAGCAGCTATACGAGCTCGAAAGTTCCGAGATAAGAAAGGGGTTACCCTGAATACGCAAGATGAGAAGAGGGACCTCCTCGGCTCAGGAAAAAGTGATTTTAGCAGGGGTTGGAGGCTCTTCTCTGGATAATAATATAATTTTAACAGCTCTCTCGGATCGTTTGAACCCCGGTCAATCAAACGCTACGTATATCCAAATAATAACCACACCACCGCCTTGCAACGTTACACAGACATCAAATGTGTGTTTATCCGAGCCTCAGATTAACAACATTTACACAACTCCACAACAAGCTGCAGCAAACGCAGCAGGACAACGACCAGCTCTGGGAAGACCGCCGGTAATAATCCACACAGCTTGCTTATACATTTAGCTTTGCTACGCTCAACGACACAATGTTAGCTTGCTAACCTAGCCGAGCTTGTTGTTCAGGGCAGCTAATGTTAGCTATTTAGCCAGGGCATTCCCACGACTCAACCTAGCGAGGTGGCTAACTAACTACCGCTAGCTAAGTTACCCAAGTAGGCTGGTTAAGTGTTTTCGTTTGCTGTGGGGACGCCAGTGACAAGTTTAAGTGAGTTTAGCGTTAACTGGAATGCAGACCTGTCATCTAAGAGAGTGTTAGCAGACTTCATGGTGCTTTTGAGTCCGCTTCACCTTTGCAGCCAGATGGAAATATTGGTAAGAGATGACTAACGTTAGCGCTGGCCTAGTGGCTGCTGTTGGTGTCTTAATTTGGGGGGTTGGGGGATGGTTTCCCTGCTCGTTTCTTGGTAAGCTATATGTTTGTTTTTAGCGTTTTAACGCTACATGATTAGTGGAACTTATAAAGGCATGATGTTATACGCAGATATCGCTACAATTCAGTCTGGGATCTGCTCGATAGATTTTCTCCCAGTCGTCTGTGAAGATGCAAGCCAACTTGGGTAAAGCTTTGAAAATATGCGTTAGCTATCAGAGCTAGTAGCACTATTGGTTATTAGAGAGCAACGTTAGTCGTTGTCGAGCTTGACCTTATTCTTTTAATTCGGCACAACTGTTTCATGCCACTCTTTTGTAACTGAAGTAACGCTGTGGTGCCTTTCATGTCAAGTAAAGTGAAACCCGAGTTTGTTGCTTTAGTGCTGATTCTACGTTTCCTGTATTCTCAACATGCACAAACCACACAAAACAGTTAAAGCTGCATTCAGGGTGTTGTTTTCATTTCTTTCTCCTCCTGGTTATTCATCTTTTATGAACTCAACCAGTCTGCACATATCAGGCTGTGAGCCATGAGAAGGCTTTGGGGTGAGGGGAGCTGCTTGCTGATATAAAATGGCTGACACTTTGACTGTCAACAGAGGACATATTTCTTTCTTTCTCAGTCTGGGGTTATGCAAAAGATGAAGTAGTAAGTATGGGTTTAAAAATTATAATGTGTTTTCCATTTCAGGGGAAAGTGGCTTCTGCTGTGCATGAGTTTTAGAGGGAAATGCAGACCAGCAAGCTGGTGGCACTCTGTCCTGCTCAAAGACACTAAAACAGGGTGGATTCTTGCAAAAGCACAGATTCATGTTCATTGGGCTATAATTGAGATGGGTTATTTGGTTAAAAAAAAAATTATTATTGTATTTTTGTGCTTTAAGAAACAAGACATCGGGTATGTTTATGGTAAGAAGTTTAACATCTGCATTACCAAATCCAATTTTCAACACATCCCATAAATCGACTTAAACATGGTGAATGGTACAGATGAATCTGGGGACAATGTAGATGCATATGAAGCTAAATAAAAGCTTGTGTTGGAGCCATAAATTGCTGGATCATACGCTTAAACTGACTCATGCTGGGTAATTGGACATCAGACATTTTTGTCTGGATTTGGGATTTAAGTTTTGGACTGAGCAGAACTACTTGATGCTTCCCTTAATTATTTGGCTGGGTGGAGTTATACGGTCGATTATTTATTGGGATTGGCGTTGGTGTGTGGTGGGACGTTCAAATCGTCGACGTGACTCACTCTTGAGCTATTTGGGCTTGCCCTTTCCAATAAATTTGAAAAAATGGAATCTCTGTGGCTGACAAAACTTCTTTCAATTTAGATTTGATGTTGTTGTCCTTGCTGCGAAAACCTCAGGAATGCTGAAGTAGTCGACAGAGAACAATCACATTTGGTGACTAAAAGCAGCCTGAAACTAGCAGTCACTCTGTGTAAACTCCTCTTTGGTCCTATACTGTGTTTTAGAGAGACTAGGCTTATGGAAAGGCTTTGGAAGTGACTGCCAAATAACCACATCCACCCTTAACTATCCCTTCTGCTCTCTCCTAGGCAAAAAGGCGATTGGCGCTCGATGATTCGGACCACCAGTACCAGACAGAACCAGCCAAAACTCCAAGAGGTAGAGGAGCAGCCGCGGCATCAAATGGGGCACGGCTGAAGACACCCAGAAGTAAGAAGGTGGCTCTTAAGAGCCCTCTATCATCTTGTTTGTTCATTTCACTGCAGATTGTTTCAACGTCATCATGTCCATGCTCCTGCCGAGCAGCACAGATGAGAACAGTGTAGATACAGCTGTTTTTTATGGTTATTCCAATAAAATGAGTTTTGTTTTTTCCCCTGAGCTAAACATCATCATGAAGGTAAGGTCTTTGGTTCTCTCCGAGTGGTTCACTCAGCTTTCCATGAAGAATAATCTCTCCAGTGTTACATCAGTATATTAGTAGTGTTGATTAATCTGTTTCAATATATAAACGGTAGTTTTGTGTATATAAACTATGGAGCTGAAATGGGGAACTCTCTCAGCAGGGAAGTGTTTCATATGAAGCTTATTGCTTCCAGACTATATTCAAGCACAGTAAGTAACTTCCTGTTAGCTTGGTGTTTTATTTGGCCTGTATTCCTAGAAAATTTAAAAACGAACGGGGTGGGGAGAGAGATCTGGTTCTTTTACACGAATCTAGTGATCGTGGCAGTGTAATACGTGGTCTTGTGGGAGGTCACAACAGGTGACGTGGTGTGGATCTCTGCTCTTAAACCGCTCTGCCCACTGAGAACAGGAATGGGATACTGTGAAAACAGAGCCTTTAAAATTAAAAAAACGTTTAGCTTTAAATTGCAACCCGACAGAGGAATTAAAAAGTGATCTTTTTGCAAATTGGCCTGTAGCTCGTCTTCACAAAAATACCCCGGCGATCGTTGCTGAGTCATTTCCCTTTCAGCATTTCCCTGGAAAAACTGTCTTCGGTTTTCCCAATATTGAGTGTTAATGAGCAATTCGTACTGTAAATGTGCCCAGTATGAAAATGCCTCGCTTGTTTCCAACAATGACTTCAAAGTTGGCTCTTCATCTTTGTGAATGAGTCACAACACAAAACAGTATGGTCACCCATCCGTCCAGCAGGTAGTCTGCTTCCTCTGACACCCCTGCTGCTCTTGGACTCCTGTTGACTCTCGGACATATTGGTGAAGCTGCGTTTCGCTCAGCCATATGCTCTCATGTTAAAACTGCATCTAGCAATGACTGAGTTTGCATGTCTTGGCTAGAAACTCTCCTTCAAATTGCTTAAATTGCTGAAATTTCCCCTTCTTTCTGCTTTTTGTCCACCATAGCACCTAAGTCTCCACCAGAGAAGACGCGGTACGACACATCTTTGGGCCTCTTAACAAAGAAGTTCGTGGACCTCCTTGCTCAGTCTTCCGATGGCGTTTTGGACCTCAACCTTGCTGCTGAAACCTTACAGGTAAATTGAGGAAGATGCTTTGTTTTCGGTCAGCGTTTTAGCGACTGATGAGTTACGCCGTTAAATCTGTACGTGTGTTCCTCACTTGCAGGTACAGAAAAGGCGGTTGTATGATATCACCAATGTACTAGAAGGCATTCACCTCATCAAGAAGAAATCCAAGAACAACATTCAGTGGATGTAAGTGGTTATTCTCCCTCACTCTGCCGTGCAGGTGCTTGGTTTGGACTCTGCATTTTTCTTTCTCCTCCGTCTTTGCTTCTTTCTTTACCTCAGCTGATGTCGTATGAGGATACCCAACAGTGCCGACACTCACTTTACTTGAATCATTTTAGTAGTTTGCTCATAAGTTCATAACTGGGCACGAGACACCTGTGCTTTGCAGTTTAGGGTGGCTTTTCATTTAAACAGATTTTGAGTCATGTTTGTGAGCTGTATGTACTGTTATGGTTTTATTTTAAAGCTCTGTTGATTTTCCTCTCATGGCCTAAGATGTAGGCCATGTCGCTGTCAGGCACTAAAGTTGGAAATGACTACAGAAATTTATTGGGTCAGAATACTTTGAAGGTAGTTTCCCCAGTTTTATGTTTTGAAGTCACTTGTTCTTTACAGGATATGCAGTCAGTGGAGCCTGGTAATCACACCTTCTTTTTAATGAAGGAAAGGTGCTTAAGTGAGGGGTAGCTCATACGTACGGAAACATAAATCCTGTGTTTACTTGAACAGAAATCAGAACTTTTTTGCACTGTTGAAGTTGATGTGCCAAATATTTGAAACTAAACACCAAATGGCTACAATTGAGCGCCCTGAGGTGACTCTAAACTGCTGTATTTCACTCTCCACTGGCTTTTCTTTCATTTACAGGGGCTGTAGTCTGTTGGAGGTCGAGGGAGCGCTGAGCCAGAGACAGAGACTGACAGCTGAAGTTTCTGCGCTGGCTGATGAAGAGCAGAGGCTCGAACAACTCATCCAGAGATGCTCTCTGGATATGAGACACATGAGCGAGTTGCCAGGCAACCAGAAATATCCTTTTGTTAGTTGAGATTGTGGCTAAAGTTTTAGTTCAACATAAATTTTTTAAAGATGCAGAGTAAGTCAGTCAGGATTGCAAGGTCTTGTTTGTAATCTACTAAAACTGCAGATTTCTGAGCAAACGCCAAGCAAGTTAATTTCAGGAGTGTCCACTGCAGTTTTACTTAGAGCAGTGACAATTGGAGAATCAGAAGCAACCTGATGATAGATTTTTAAATGTCTCTGTGAGCAGTGTGCTTCTTTAGATCAGTGGGAGGAAGCTGACGGAGTATTCATACGTTCTGACATGAGATTGAAGTCTGTTAGAAATCGCTCTTGACTAGGGAAGCCATTCGCTTCTTAATTGTTGTAGCTCATGTAGGGAGTGGCTGTTTTATTATAAATAAGTTTGTCACAGGCGATCTGATCAAAAACGCCAAACATCAGAAGCCTTTGCTGATTTGAATTTGGGAGATTCCCCAGTAAAGGTGATTTTCTTGGTCACGTCCAGGCAGCAGGTCCTATAGTGCTATAACCCTTTAACTGTGTAATTTGCGATTTCATTTAAACTTGCGCAGAGCGCACAAAGTCAAGGTCAGTTTCAAATTAACTCAAATTTTATGTGGAGGATTGTTGTTCATAAGTCTGAGCTGCAGCTTAGTTTTCAGCAGGTGTAGGAGTTCAGTTTGGAAGCCTGAGGGCAGCGTGTCAGGTGAGGAGTGGCACTGGAGCACCATTTCCATTAGTACCTACTGAGGGTGGCTCGCCACAGTTTTCAGGATTTTCCATTAGGTGATGAGACCTGGTACCAGGCCGGTGTTCCAAGTGACCTAAAAATGTAATGTAAACAGAATGCATACTACCGATTGGCTAGTTAGTGAGTCATGTCTCTTCACAAAAATCAAAACCGCCATTTATTAAACCCAGCAATGAGGAAAACATCTGGACAGAAACAACTTTGCTGAGTCTGAAACTCTACACACTGAGCAGCAGGTGTAACGTTGCCTTGACGTCCACCTTTGTAGTGCTTTGCCGCATTGCAATAACGACCCCACACACATCCGGTTGGTACTAGGTTGTAATGGAAAACGAGTCGTATCGCCACAAGACTCGAGTCACATCTTGCTGATCTGAGTAGGTACTAATGGAAAACGCTCTTCAGTTTTTTCAGCGTTGTGCACTGTGACTTCATCAATCGTGGCGATTCATCTCCGAGTGTATTGAAAACAGACTTCTTTTTTTGTCCCTCACACCCACCAGCACAGTGTTAACTCACCAATAACCCACTCACCAAAGTTGCTTCCCTGCAACGTTATCCACTTCCCTAAAATTAAAAATCAAGTTTAATGATAACACTTCTGACAAACTGGAGGAGATCCAGAACTGACCGCAGAGGCTCAAATGCGCGTTCACACATAGGATGCGTAGAAGATCACACAATCATCAGAAGTTAATGTTCCCGTAGATCATATATATATAAAAGATTGTCTGCATAACATTAGCTTGCAGCCGATTATTAGAATCATCAGGGAAAAAATGGATTACCTTGTGATCCAAGTTAATAGTCATGGTTTGCATGTGTGCACTGCTCAGTAAAGACGCAGAGGCTTGAGATCTTTTCCTCATGGACCCGTGTCCTCAGATTTTGCACACTCAAACTCCTTCAAATACCATGCAGTACAGCTAGTTGCAAAAATAATTGTGCTCGTGCCTTTTTTTGTCATTATGAATTCTTTAAGTCTCACTAATTGTTTTATAATGCCAAAAGGGGGTTTAGACAGGCACAGAATGGTGACATGGCTGTTTCTTAGTCTAAAAGTCTCTTCTCAAAGAGCTGTAATATGCTTTCAGTACTTTAAGAGCTCTGCCTTCAGGAACAACTAGCTGTGTTTTACTTCTCCTCAAACAAACCATCTCTTTTCTAACATGTCACAGAATGCAAGTCATTTCTAACCGCACATAATCATATAGTCTATGTTCTGTATCAATGCAGACGCAGTTTTATTTCTTTAACCCGGGTGTTTCCACATATGCTTATGTAACATACCAAGATATCAAACAGGGGAGCCTCAGAGACCAGACGGTTATTGTCGTCAAAGCGCCCACAGACACCAAACTAGAAGTGCCGGACCCTGAAGAGGTTTGTATACATGCTCACAAACACATGCGCCTAATTTGTTTTCGACCACTTGTCATATGACTTGAGTTCTTTTTATAGACAAGACTTCATATTGGTTAGGTTCACTTCTGACCTTAGTTGGATAAGTCAGTCAGTTTTGAATGTAACTATATTGAAGTTTTTCAACGTGATGTCATGCACATCTTGCTCAAGATTTGTCCACCATATTGGATCTTATACAACCACTGGTTGCTAGGCAATAATGTGTGTATTGCCTGATTGGTTGGGAGTGGTTCATGGAGGTTTCTGGTTTTCGCTGGGTGAAATCTGTTGGAAAGTAGGTGCTGCATGAAAACCTCCTATATTGCACCGGTTGGTAGCAGATTTCCC